ACCCGAGGGGTTGCCCTGCATTTCAATTTCTATTTTTCCCTCATTTGTTTGTCTAAATATGTGTGAATGTCACAATCTTTTAATCATGAAGGTATATATTATGCTAATATCTTTGCAGCTTGCTAAACCCCCTGTGTATTTCAGAAACATTCCAATTCCACTCTTACATGTTTTAAGATATACAGTAAATTGTTCTTAACTATAGTCACCATTCAGTACTACGGACTACGAGATCTTACTCATTCTAACTATTTTATAGCCAACAACCATCCATCCCTTCTTTATCCCTCCCTCCTCACTACCCTCCCCAGCCTCTGATAACCAGCATTCTACTCTCTACCTCCATGAGTCAGATTTTTTTTTTTTTTTAGTTCCCACATTAGTGAGAGCATGCAATATTTGTCTTTCTGTGTCTGGCTTATTTCAGTTAACATGATATTCTCCATTTCTAGCCATGCTGTTGCAAACGACAGGATTTCATTCCTTTTTATGGCTGGATAGCATTCCGTTGTGTATATGTACCACATTTTTATGTATTCACTCATCTGTTGATGGACACTTTGATTCTGTATCTTGGCTATTGTGAATAGTTCTGCAATAAACAGGGAAGTACAGATATCTCTTTGAAATACTGAATTTTGGCCGGGTGCAGTGGCTCAAGCCTGTAATCCCAGCAGTTTAGGAGGTCGAGGTGAGGGGATTGCCTGAGCCCACGGGTTCCAGAACAGCCTGGGCAACTTGGTGAGATCTCATCTCTATAATAAATCTAAAAATTAGCTGGGCGTGGTAGTGCACGCCTGTAGTTCCAGCTACTTGGAAGACTGAGGCAGAAGGATCACCTGAGCCCATAGGTGCACTGCATTCCAGCCTGGGTGACAGAGTGAGACTCCAACTAAAAAAACAAAACAAAACTGATTTTTTTACTTTTGGATACATCCCCAGGAGTGAAACTGCTGAATGATATGGTAGTTCCTTTTTTTTTTGGTGTTTAGGAGGCTGCCCAACTTACCTTTCCATCAACAGTGTATATGAGGGCTCGCCTTTCTTCACATCTCTAGCATTTGTTATTACTTGTCTTTCGAATAAAAGTTATTTTGACTGGGATAAGATGCTATCTCATTGTAGTTTTGATTTACATTTATCTGATGATTAATGATGTTGAGCATTTTTTTCATATACTTGTTGGCCATTTATATGTCTTCTTTTGAGAAATATCCATTCAGATCTTTTGTTCATTTTAAGATCAGATTTTTTTTTTTCTATTGAGTCGTTTGAACTCCCTATATATTCTGGTTATTGATTTCTTCTCAGATGTATAGTTTGCAAGTAACTTCTGTTCTGCGGTTTGTCTCTTCACTTTGCTATTTCCTTGACTGTGCAGAAGGTTTTTACTTCAATGTGGTTCCATTTGTCCATTTTTGCTTTAGTTGCCTCTGCTTTTGAGGTCTTACTCAAGAAAATTTGGTCAGACCAACATCCTGGAGTGTTTCCTCAATGTTTACTTATAGTAGTTTTAGAGTTTCAGGTTTTAACTTTAATACATTTTAATCTGATTCTTGTATATGGCAAGAGATAAAGATTTAATTTCATTCTTGTGCATATGAATATCTGATTTTTCCCAGCACTGTTTATTGAAATGACTATCTTTTCCCCAGCGTATGTTCTTGGCACCTTTGTTAGATATAAGTTGACTGCAAATGCATGGATTTATTTTCAGGTTCTCTATTTATTGGTCTGTTTGTCTGTTTTTTGTTTTGTTTTGTTTTTTGTTTTTTAAGTTGGCGTCTCACTGTGTCACTCAGGCTGGAGTACAGTGACACATTCACGACCACTCCAGCGTTGACCTGCTGGGCTCCGGCTATCCTTCTGCCTTAGCCTTCCAAGTAGCCAGAACTACAGCTAATTTTTTATTTTGATTGTAGAGACGAAGTCTCACCAAGTTGCCCAGGCTGGTCTCGAACCCACGGGCTCAGGCAATCCACTTGCCTCAGCCTCCCAAAGTGCTGGGATTACAGGCTGAACCATTGAGCCCAGACTGTGTGCCTTTTTTTTTTTTTTTTTAAACACGTTTGGTTTACATATAGCTTTGAAGCACAGTTTGATGTCAGGTAACATGATTCCTCCAGCTGTTATTTTTGGTCAATGTGGCTTTGGCTATTCTGGGTCTTTTGTGATTTTATATAAATTTCAGGATTAATTTTTCTATTTTTGTGAAGAATGTCATTGGTATTTTGATTGAGATTGGACTGAATCTGTAGATTGCTTTGGGTAGTGTGGACATTTTAACAATATTGATTTTTTTCAACTTACGAACATAGACTATCCATTTTTGTGTCCTCTTCAATATTTTTCACCAATATTTAATATTTTCATTCTAGGGATTTTTTTTTTTTTTTGTCAGAGTCTCAGTCTTTTGCCCAGGCTGGAGCGCAGTGGTACACTCAAAGCCACTGCAGCCCTGACCTGCTGGGCTCAGGTGAACTTTCCACCTTAGCCTTCCAAGAAATTGGAACAACCTGCCACTGTGCCTGATTTTCTTTGTATTTTTTTAAATTGTTGAGGTGAGGTCTCACCAAGTTGTCCAGGCTGGTTTCAAACCCGTGGGCTGAGGCAGTCCTCTCACCTCTGCCTCTCAAAGTACTGGGATTACAGGTGTAAGCCACCTTGGCCAGCTAAGATCTTTTACTTCTTTGGTCAATTTTATTCCTAGACATTTAATTTTATTTTTAAATGTGGTAAATGGTTTACTTTCTTGCTTTATTTTTCTTTTTTTCTTTTTTTTTAATCAATTTTTTTATTTTGATATTGTGGGGTACATTTAAGGGTTAGGTATACAGATATGCTTCATTCAGGCCCCCTTGTTGATAACAGGTGTCTCCTCGTCCCCAGACAGATGTTTACTACCATTAGTCCCATCCCCCCCCATAGTTTCCCACCACTGTCAGTCATTTTCTTATGGTAGTGCGTTGGATGATCAAGGTCCACTATATGAGTGAGAATATGTGATACTCAGATCTTTGTTTCTGTGAGAGGTCACTCAGTATTATAGACTCTAGGTCCAGCCAGGTTGCTCCGAAATTCATGATTTTGTTCTTTTTTATGGCTGCATAGTATTCCATCGTGTATATGTACCACATTTTTTTAATCCAGTCCTCTTTTGATGGACAGCATAGTTGGTTCCAGGTTCTTGCTATTGTGAACAATGCTGCAATAAACATTTGTGTGCAGGCATCTTTTTTATAGAGTGATTTGAGTTCTTCAGGGTATATTCCCAGTAGGGGGATTGAGGGGTCATATGGGAGGTTGATATTTAGAGCTTCTAGGAATCGTCACACTGCTTTCCACAGAGGTTGCACTAGTTACACTCCCACCAATAGTGTAGGAGTGTTCCCTTTTCGCCACATCCTCTCCAACAAGTATTATTTTCTGAGTTATTGATAATTGCCATTCTGACTGGAGTTAGGTGGTATCTCAGTGTGGTTTTGATTTGCATCTCCCTGATGATTAGTGAGGTTGAGCATTTCTTCATGTGTCTATTGACTGCTCGGATGTCTTCCTTTGTGAAGTGTCTGTTCATATCTTTTGCCCATTTTATAATGGGGTTGCTTGTTTTTTTCTTTTCAGCACATTTGAGTTCCTTGTAGATCCAAGATGTTAAGCCTTTGTCAGACCTGGAATTGGTAAATACTTTTTCCCAGTCTGTAGGCTGTCTCCCTGTTCTCTTGATGATTTCTTTGGCTTTGCAGAAGCTTGTCAGTTTAATGAGAT